AACATGAGATAGGCCAGGCTGCCGCCATCGAAGGAGGCGCATTATTTGACAGCAAAGTTTTCTTTCCATGAGTAGAAAGAGCACACTTTAATGATAAAAGCAGAATACATGAAACACTTAAATCTATTATAGTTGTTTATTATTATAATCAAATATCATCTACTGTATATCAGTGTGTGTGCAATACTCTTACACAACTAGAAAAACAAGTTCGGTGACACCCATTTCATCACATGCATGGGAGTAATGCTTTGTAGATGTAAATGTGAGAAGCAAGCTTATGGGAGCTTTTCAGTCCCACTGTGGCCTCATCGGGTCACTGTGTATATAGACTTATTGTTGGTGCTACTAAGAGGCACAAGGCTGTATTTATGGAGACCCAACTGTGCGCAGCCCCTCTCACTGGATCTTGGAGATCACTCAGACCGCTCTTCTCCCTCACCCACAATGCCTATGGCAGCCTTTCTCATCTCTCCCAAAACTTGGAAGGAGCCAAGATATCCTGGAGTAGTGTGAGTGGATAAATGAACTGCAGTGTGTCCAGACAATGGAATGGTATCTAGCTATCAAAAGATATCAGCTATCAAACAATGAAAAAAGAGAGAAAGCTAAAATGTATAATACTAGGCGAAAGAAGCCGATCCGAAGGCGCTACAGGCGACCTGCGCCCAGCTCGGTGACATTTTGGCACAGGCAGCGCTGTGAAGAACAGTGAGGCCAGTGTCCAGCAGGGGCTGGGCAGGGTGTGGCCTGGCAGGGCACAGAGAGGCTCAGGCAGTGGGACTCGTCGGTGTGCTTCTATAAAGGTGGACACGCCTCTACTCCAGGCCACTCTGGGAGTCGCAAGAGCAGCACAGCGTGTCTGCCACACACTGCCTCCGATCAGCACAGGCGAAGCCCTGGGAAGTTCTCGAGACCAACACACCTTCACCTGGCGCCCAGAGAGACGCCAAGGCGTAGGCAGACAAGGAAAACTTGAATCACTTAAGAGACAAGCTTCTCACTGCAGAAGAGAGCTCTGTTTGCTTCTTCCTCTGTAAGGACACCTGTGTCACCCGAGTGCAGCATTTGTGCAGGTAAGATTAGGTCTTTTGAGCTCTTCAAAGAATTTACCAGGCATCTGTCAGTGAGAAGCAGGCTTGTGAGCACAGCTTGGTACAGTTCTAAATAGCAGCGTGAGTTAATTCTATGGTCATCTCCCGGTTTCTTCATTCTTCTTTTCTAATGATTTCCCCCTCATTTTCTAATGATTTTGGCAGGCTGAGGGAAATGTGTGTTGAAAGACAGAGAAGCCCGAGAGGAGCGAGGATAATCGCATGGGCTGGAGTGCGCCGTGTGCAATAGCTCGCCCTACGCCCAGTCCGCGTGGGCTGTGTGTGCCAGGCACACGCATGCCCCCGGCCGTACCTGGTCTCTCCACACTTTTTACTCTTACCCACAGATAACATGGAAAATGTCACCTGATTGACTCCCTGGCAAACTCTCTTAAAGTCTTTCCTCAGCTCTAAACTACAGAGAATATCTTTCAATGCCTTGGCATAGAGAATCTTTTTTAAATGACTCACTGGCCTCAGACTCAAAATGACTAACATTTGCATAGCATTTCACAATTGCTCGGGTGCTTTTCGCGTCGGGTGTCCCACTTCATGCAGCATTCCTGACATGGACGTAATGGCCACTTCACCAACACACAGACACTGCCCCCAAGTGCTCACAGTGCGCAGCAGGGCTGCTGGTTCTATCTGTGCTTCCAAAGCTGAATTCTGCCCGTTCTAGCCTTAAGGCCTGTGTGACAATGGTGCTGACACTTGCCCACCCTCACACAGACCCTGTGACCCAAAGCCCTCCACACATGCCTACAATAACGAAAGAAGTTATTCGTGATTCAAAGACCAATTTACCAGAGGCTGTCTGGGGAAGTTACAGTTAGGCAAAGGAGGTGTCCCAGAGCCAGAGTCTGGGCTCCGATTCCATTTCTGTTTCTGACAGGCGCACGTCTTAGCAAGTTACGTCTCCACGTAAGGCCATTCTTGCCACACAGGGCTGTTCTGAGGTATGAATAAGGCGCGGTGAGTGCTATTTGGGACTTGGTATATGCTTGCTCACCAGTGTCCTTCATTTTGCCCGACTGGCTTCTTCCCATGACTGGCCGATCGCTCACTGGGAGCAATCACCTACCTTACCGCCCTTCCTCACATCTCACCTCAGTAGAGAGCTCCAGAAAGACAGTGCGCTTCCTCATGAGAGCTCCTGTGTGCCTTCAGCTTTGTTCCAAAATTGAATGCTTCCGGTGATTCTGAAAATGTGCTCTCTAGCTCAGCGTTCATATAAGCGATGAATGCTTGGAAAAAGGTCGGAACGCTTGTCCTCTAAATGGTGCCAAGCATATCCGTACATCGCTGGAATTTATTAATTTTCATGGCATAATAACTGAATTTTTTTCAAAATAAATTCCACTACCTACTTTGAGAACAAACTGTTTATACAGAAAAGGCAAGAAGAGAACCCTAATCCTTGCTTGTTTTCGATGTAACGATCCTTGGCTCAGCCTACCTTTTCTGTCATACCTCTATTTGTTTTGTTTTCCTTTGTGTTTTTAGAGATGCTTTTCTTTTCTTAGTACATGTCTGCAGTGCACCGTGGATGCATTCATGTGGGGAGCTGGCAGGTGCACATCTTAGTCCGTTTCCTTTCCTATTCCTTTCTATTCCTTTTTATTATTGAAATATACATTGCTGGAGAATTGTTGTTGATCCTGAAAAGTTTACATGTATTAGCTTGGGTAAGAGTATATTTTCTATATCTTCATCTCATTCCTGTTTGGAAATTTAAAATCAACATTAACCTTTAGTGACCACTAATGTAAATAAGAGGGGCAGCCAAATATCTCAGCGGATTAAAGTGCCTGCAAGCAGGTGCAAGGGCCAGGGGTTAGCTCCCCAGGCCTGCTGTGCCAGCCCCACCCCAGGGGCGCACTGAGACAGCAACTGAGACTGGGCATGGTGGCACGCCCCTGTAATCCCAGCTCTTGGGAGGCCATAAACAAGCAGATCACTAAGAGTCCAATCTAGTACTGAGACCCTGAACACCCTGTAGATGTTCCTTCCCTAAAATACAAAAGAAAGAAAAAAACAAGGTAAATGACAGTCTTTAGTTTTTTCCAAGAGTTTTATCTTTCAGGATATAGTTAATATTCTCCATAAGTCCAGATAGGTTAGTGGGAAGTAGTCTTTTCTTTTTGCTACATCCTGAAGCTAGAGTTCTGGATAAAATTCAAGTGCAATCCTGTCTTTCTTCACTCACCTACAGAGCCCCAGACTCCTTGTCACCTGATCCAGGATTGAGCTTTTTACTGAGATTATTTCTGAGGCATTTACCATGCTGCAACCCTGAGTCCATTCACCACACTCTCAAACTAGATTCTGTTGTCTCCCTGAAGGGTGGGAACTTTAAATTAGCAACTTTAAACCTCAATACCTAATGGTCTGATGCTAACTTACTTTTTTTCTTTTGAAACCAATGTAAATATTTCCAGTGAATTCCAGAACAAAGCTATCTTATCTCAGTAGAAATTTCTAGCAAGAGAAGAACAACAACAAGGTGACAGCCACCTGGTTCTTTTGCTACCTTTCCTTGGGCCCCAGGGACATTTCAAAGTTAATTCCTGACCAACTCTAAATAAAGAATGTAGGCCAGTGAAATAGCTCAGGGGACTAAGCACATGCTTAGGCAAATGCAGGAACTGGGCTTCGATCCGCAGCACCATATGCCATGATGGCCCTGCCCTCGGGTGTGCTGAGCCTGCCACCAAGCCCGGGTGTGGTGGCACACACCTACCATCCCAGCACTGGGGAGTCTGACAGGAGGATCACTACAGAGTCTGACTGCATAGTGAGACCCTATACCAAATACATGGAAGGAAGGAGAGA